TTGCATTTTTTAATCATGGAAAACAATGTTTATCAGTCGTTCTTTTCTGATTTATTTTTAAGCGGTGCTGTTTACAGTTTTCAACAAAAACAATGATGACACAAAAATTGCTGCTGCTTGTGCAGAGGGCTGGCATCTCAACTGCCCAGAGCCCTCACTCTCCCCCTCTCCCCAGCCCTGATGTATCGCACTGTTCATCACCTCCTTCCATGATAGGGGCAACAGAAGATGCCCAGGTACTAAGACAAATGCCAGTCATGTGGAACCAGGCGTGTTGTTTTATGGCTTTATTTTATTTTTTTTTCCTTTTGGACCCTGCCCCTTTCCTCTTTGTAGACCTTCTAGAAGTACTCATGTCTTTGCCTCACTCTCTCTTTTTTATTCTTTATGCTCTGTGCTTTTGTTTTGAAACCAGAGTGCCCATGTTGTACTGTTTGTCATGTTGAGTTTCTCCAAAGGAACGTTTTGGGGACAGGAATATTCTCCACTCATTGGGGAGGGCAGAGGGTTTCAACCACATCCTGTCTCCACAAGAAGTTGGGGGAGACAGATGGCAGTGATGTTTGAAGCATCAAGAATTAGCCATCTTATTGAGGAAACCCTTGCATAGGACTTACCAGGAGCTCGGTTGATTGGGACATTCACCCAGAAGAGACATTGGGGACCTGCTTGACCCCTCATGCTGCTTTGGGGGAATCTCTCCCCTTACCACCATTCCTGTTCCCCTGCCCTCCTCCAGCTCAGACATGGATGGTACTTTGGGAAATAGTGACTGTCAGGGTGATGGCTTACTGGCCTGATCCCCACTTTTTTATCCTATAGTCACTCCAAAGAAGAAAGTTCACATGGCATGTATATGTATAAAGGTTGGGCTTACTGAGAGGTGGGGCTTTAATTATTCCTGTTTACTATTGGTGCTTATTTTCCCTGCTGTATACTGGGGTGGGGTGGGAGGGAAGAAACCAGGAATGTATATTTAGCTCATGTTAAATAAAATGGCTGGGGGACAGAGGGAAGAAATGAGGAACTGCAGTAAATCCCACCCCCAGGTATAAGAGGTCTTCCTCTCACAGTGCAGAAAGGGGAGCATGGCCCCTAGATGTGCCCTAGCTTCCCCTTCTCTATTCCTGAGACATCACAGAGTCGCTTGGATTGTGACCTCTCCAATCCTAATTCTCACTGACATCTGGATATCTTTATGAATTTCCTGTTTGTAACACCATATACTTCTTTTGCTGAATGCTAATAAACTGGGTTCAAGAGGGACCCCCCAGTCACTAAAGTGCATTCTTGTGTTTGTTTTTTGTTTGTTTTTTCATAGCAGCATGCCTGTGTCCCATAGTTTCTGGCTTTTTCCTTAAAGAGAAATTGAGGCAGCAAGGAGGTGAACCTCCTACTGATGGCCCCATCAAAAGGATGTGTCTAATGGTGGGTCTTTCAAGCAAGCTATAGGAATGGCATCCTTCACCAGGCTATGGACCGAGATGAGAGGCTGGCCAGGCAGCTGCTTGCCTCACCTATTCAGCCATGGGGCTGAGTGGGGAGCACGTGGCTTCTGCCCCTTATTGTAGGGCATCTCATCTGGTAGGCACCAGAGGTGTACCATAGTAATAACCCAGTCACCTTGGGATCATGTCCTTCCTTAGATCATCAAGAAGCCATACCTGTGCTATCAACCAGGAGGTGATTGTGCTAATGGCTTTGGTTTCTCTAATCTAGATTCTTGTCTTTGGCCCCTGATAAGCAAGGGTGTCTGACACCTGATGGTGGGCTTTCTTGAGTTCCACCCAATTGCCATGTCAAAGCCAGAAGGCCTGAAATAGCAGCTGCTTGAAAGTGCTGTGGACAGTGCTGCCACAGACACAATTGGAGGGCCGGGGCCCCTTCCCAGACTAGCAAATAAGCTTGGTGGCCTCCAGGACCTCATGAGTCAAACAAAGCCAAAATAAATCAAATTATCAGGAGAACCACCTGAGAGGGGAGTTGATAGCTTATAGAAATTGAATACTCTACCATGGGCTGCTCATGGAAGGAAGAAGAAAGTCAGGTTTGCTCTCGGATCTTCTGGAGCAACACTTTCTGGGGGGTCTTATTACATCCATTTGAAATTCACAGGGATTCTGGAGTCAAGGAAGCCTGGGTTTATGCCTTAATTTTTTCCCCTCATTAATCAATGGAGACTTGAACAAATCATTTCTCCTTCTGAGTCTCAGTTTCTCTATCAATAATATGTGAGTGGCACAGACATAGATTTGACTACACTAGTTTCTATAAACAAGTTGGAAGATTGGGCTAACTCAGACCCATGAAACTTTTTCAGCTACCTACGTCCACCATTGTCCACCCTGATTCTGACTCATTTGGCCTGAGTGGAGTTCTTTTTTTGTGGTACCCCACATGACTAATACATTGGGCCTGCTGGATGAGCTGAGGGGTAAGAGTGCCTCCTGTTCTTCTGTGACTGGTGGCCACCAAGGGAGTCCTTTGCAAAGCTGGAAGGGACATTGGTGGAGGGAACTTCTTAAGACCTTTAGATCATCAAGAAAACAACCACAGTCAGCTCCATTGCTGGTCAATCTGAGGGCTGGGATTGTGCTTAGCAAAAGGGTTGCCTTGATTCCCAGTTTCTGTTATAGCAGATGTAAACTCAGCAGATAAGAGACCTTTGTGAAAGCCTTTTGGAGGGTGTTGTGGGCAAGTTGCTAGTTTCCATTGTCCCCATCATGACTGGTCTTGGGACCCTACTGACTGTGTTCTCTCCCTAGATAATTCCTAGATGTAGTCTGTGCTTCATGGTTTTTAGGAGCAACACCTAGTCAATAAGTGCAAGTGACCTGAGGGTATCACTTTCAAGTCGACAATCTCCATTATCACCTAAAAGGCCCCTGAAAAAGGTGAGCAAAGCAGATGATTTTAACTCTGCTTTACAAATGAGGAAATAAAGGCATGGAGAAGTGAAATGACTTGCTCATGGTAATATAGAACATTGACTGCAAGTCAGAATGAGAGAAAGAGGGTGGGCAGGCTGGGATGGAAAAGGTGGTAGAAGAGAAAGATTGCTGCTAATAATTCTCCAAGTGCAGAATGAATAATATCATTGATATGTTCCAGGCAGTATACACTTTAACATTATCATCTGTAGTTCTTAACTCTATGAGATTGACATTGTTGTTACCTGCATGTTTAGATGAGAAAACTGAGCCTCAGTTAGCTTAAGACCCTTGCCAAAGTTCACAGCCAGATCACTGGGCTCCAGATTTCCTGCTTTTCCATTGCACTTGAGTAAGACTGCTGGTTAGTTGTACATTATGGGTGCTAGGGTGTGAATGCCAGCAATGCCCCTAGCAGCAGTCTGAAGCTGACCACTGGGTGTACTGGTTCTGGGGCCTCCTGAGAGGTGCAAAGTCAGCTACTGCCTGTGCCATGCCTGGGACCACCTAGCATAAGCCACAAAGTGATCTGCAGATGGCTGCTACTACTGTTGTGCTTGGAGGTGCCTGGGAGAGGCCAAGCTGTGAACCAAGGCAGGCTGCTGCTAATGCCAGGCCTGGGCCCACTTATTGAGAGATACAGGGCACACTGAGGCCAACTGCTGTTTGTTTGAGAGATTTTAGAAAAGTCTGAAGCCTGAGCTAGGATGGCCATTCATATGGAAAAAGCCACTGCAAATAGTTTAGGTTGGGTGAATATTGGGTGGAGTGGGGTCTCAGGGAGTAACCAGGGCCAGGAGAACATGTGGATCAGGTTAATGGAGAGTCAGATATGGTGACTGCCTGTCAGCACTGTGGCAGGGAGGTCTCAGCAAAAGAACAATGACCTCTAACAGTACTTTTGTCTGGGAGAAAGCTGTCCCCAGTTCTGGCCTTGATGCCAGATAATTTAGTTCCTCCCCATATGTCTCTGGATCCTTTCAAGCTTCTGCCCCAGTGCTGGAGCTCAGAGGGAGTGAGTCCAAGTAAGTCCGTGAATGGGCCTTTTATAAGGAACTGCCTGGGACTCCAGCAGCCTCTGTGTCACTTTTCTGTATAGAAAGCCTGCTTCTGCTTTCTACACTGTAAAATCCTTCTTGCAAGAATGTGGCACTCAGCCATATTCCCCGCTGGTTTTTACAGCCTGAAGTTACGGGAACTTTATTTCCCAGCACTGGAACCCTGTGCTTAGTGGTCTGGTGTGGGGCTGGGACCTCTTGCTCCTCACAGGAGACCTCCCCAGCTGAGATAGCTCTTCTGATTAAAAAAAAATGCTACACATTTCCACCCCTCCTATCAGTCTCACTGTGGCTTCTTTAATTCTCTAGTTGTAGGGTTTTCATTCAGCCAGATTTCAGGTAGTTCTGAATGATGGTTGTTCAGTGGTTTAGGTATAATTTTGATGTGTTTGTGGGAGGATGCTACTACCACATTTACCTATACCAGCATCTTAACTGGAAGCCTTGTTTGTTTTCTTTAAAGTAAGTAACTGAGTTGTTGTTTTTTTGCTATTTGCATTTTATTTATTTGTTTGTTTGTTTGTTTAGCAAGAGGAAGGAAGAGAGAGAAATTTCAATGTGAGAGTGGAAATCCCCTACAATCCCCAGCAAATCCCCTACCAGGGATCGAGCTTGCAACCTGGCCATGTGTCTTGACCAGGAATCGAATCAGCAACCTTTTGGTGCACGAGATGATGCCCAGTCAACTGAGCCACACTGGCCAGGGCTATTTTATTTATTTTATTTTTCTAATTGAATTTATTTGGGTGACATTGCTTAATAAAACTATGTAGGTTTAAGGTATACAATTCTATAATACATCATCGGTATGTTGCATTGTGTGTTCACCACCCCAAGTCGTATTTCTCTCCATCACCATTTATCTCCCTTTCCCCTCTCCTGCCTCCTCAAACCACCCCCCTTCCCTCTGGTAATGATCATACTGGTGTATGTGTATGAGGTTTTTTTTCT